CCAGGGGCTTTGGAGCTTCGGGATTGGTCCGTCTTACGAAGCTACATCTTGGGACTAGCGTCGCTCCGCTCCATCCCGGGACCGGCCCACTTTTGTCCCGTCCTTATTGCCGGCTGGCCACGGATGCTTCAATCAACTTTTACAGGCAATGGCCCTGTCTGCGAACACCTAGCTCCCGCTCCGGCTCAACATTACAGGCGCGAGATTGCGGGATTGACTGTGATCAATTCGGGAACCCTTTCGAGATTCGCCAAGGGTTTCCCGATACCGTGCTGTGTCCGGCCCCATCGCAAGCGGGGTCTTCGCATCCTACACGTCCACGACGAACGAACCTGCGAATATATGTGCTGGTGTATGGATAAACGAACAAACTGGGAGTCCAGACGAAAGCTGTATCCGTAGATGGAGTCACTTTGAAAGAGTTTCCTCGTACGAACGTCGTGCCATGGGTTGATCCATGCTTCTACTGTCCAAGACTCCCAATCCCACCGGCTCTGCCTTGACCATCCGCAGCTAGATTTGGGACTTGATCTTTTGGGTTCGAAGCCAAGGTGGATGCCATCATCCTCATCTCCCCTCTTTCCGATATCGTCAGTACTAAAGACGTCGTCAATTTGTTGTCCACGGAAACGGTGCTAGCCTGAAGAAATAGCCACTGCACCGTCCGACCTTTTGACAGCATCTTCCCGGGCACATTGCTTGCCCACGGACCTGGTCACGACCTCATTCGGATTACCAACCAGCCGTGCCAGCCAACTAGCCCGCGCCTCTCGGGACGTATTATGTCAATGGGACCAGCAGACAGCATTGCTCGACCGTCAACGTCCATACGGATCTGCGCTCGCCCTTTTCGCGCCTCCACTAGGACGGTACACCTGTGAGGCGCAGGGTCGTTGCCGATGATCCTTCGAACCCAGCAAATGCCGCCAGTGTCAACTCTATTGCATGGCACGCCTCTGGATAGCCATCTCCCGTTCGGGACTCATTCTGCGCGAGTGCGCGCGCCCGCGCAAGAGAAGCCAATCTAACCACACTTCAACTACACGAGCAACAGAGCTCGTCCGTTGTTTGGGTCGGAGACTATTTCTTAACCCCCAAGAGAAGATTTCGGTCGTTGTCCGGGGAGGGGGGTGGGGGGTAATTGACGTGGAGCATCTAGATCTGCCAAGGACACCTTGAACTGACAAGGGGTGCCTCCGTAGCAGAATAGGTATTGAGAGCTCGCCACGGAGCCGTGGCCTTTCATCCACGGCAGCGGCATGTTCTTTTGCTAGTGAACGATGACCAGCCACTGGCCAAGGTAGGACGAAACACTCGTCACTGGGCCGGGGAAATGCCATTGTGAGCTCTTGTCAAACATTGGTCTGTCTAGGCGGAGTTTAAGGTGTCAGGGCGCGGAGACTTACCAGATGGTTTACTGTGTCTCTAGTGGCATTGATGGTTCCAATGATGAAGGCCAAGTAAGGTATGAGGCATAGCCGCATAGGTACAGAATCCTACCCGATTCCATCTCGGGAGGGACGTTATGGCGCGGCAGAGAGAAGCCGCCACAAAACTCAATGCGTGGGTGTGTGTGAGTGTTTTGGTGGTTTAAGACGACGCATCTTAGCCCTATGTGAGGAACTTTGGGAGAAGCTAGGCCTTGTGTGCGGGCTGAGCTAGGTAGCTTGGGGAGCAGTGGTTTTGAAACCTCCCCCAAAATCCCCAAGTCGCTACAGATTACCTTAGCTACTGCGCTACGTACCTTACTTTCACCTTGAGGTGTACCTTGCTGCGTATGGATTCAGGGCGACGGCGACCTGGAATGGGCCCAAAGGCCACAACTCACCACCAAGTGGGCGGTGGTGACTGGTGGAGGGATCGGCCGCCCTACAGAACGCCAGGCGAAAGCTTGGATCTGAACGGCGGCCCCCAAATGGGGTAGCAGTTCCCGCGTCGGGGTAAGGGCGATTCTGCCGCAACAGCGCACACCAATGACCTTAGCTAACAAGCACGACAAGGTACTCTGTATCCGTAGACTGAGGTGATTCCAGGAGCCAGGGCGGCGTTGCCTTTCCGTTGCTTGACATGGCATGACTAGGTACGAATAGGCGGATGTTGGCGACGAACGGCGCGGACTGAATTGTGCATTCTGCCGTTTACCATTTCCCAAACACCCCGAGGGCCCCAAGGACCCCAAGGTGCTTCTGCGCTGGCAGATCCTTCAACGAGAGAGACGCCGAGCAAAGGATGAGCGCGAGGGGGAGGCGGCGAGAGAAACGGGATCTCTCTGTGCGTGCGTGCGTGCGTGCAGCCCTACGGGACGGACATAAGGTACGGAGTAAGGTGTTTATTGTCGCTCTGTATCCGTGTCCGTAGCACGTACGGAGGGGATAGAGCCTGTCTGCGCCAATATCCGTACGAACTCCCTGCCCTGTCCTTTCTTGTGTAACACAAGAAGTTGGCAGGGGATGCGATCCTTGGTACCAGTACGGTAGGTACGGGTGTACGTACCTCGTGGGTGGGGCACTGCGAGCCCTCGGTGGTAGGTAGGTTTCCTCGAGGGCTGGCTACCTAACCTAGAAATCTAGGACTATTGTCGAAGCAGTGAAGCAGAGCAAGGCGTCCACGAGGTTATTCCTAACTTCCTGCATATGAGATATATCGAGAGCAACTTACAAAGCAAGACAGCTGGCTCAAAGGAGCAAAACCTTGACGCTATGTCATCCAATGTGAACCGAGCGACCTGCTCATTCGATTTGTTGCCGACCCGACTGACGCGGGAAGTCCGACAGTTGTCACCTGGTCCATCATCATCCATGAACATGAGGCCTGGCCAGCCTGGACCTTCGAGATGAAGGATGGATTGATTGATGCACAATGAACACCAAAATAAGATGGGTAAACCAGACTGCCCTTGACTTGACGCGCTTGATTCGCGATGGCATCTCGAGGTAGTATTTCGCAGGTATTGATAGAAGGAGACGAATGCAAGTGGGCAAAATTAGCCCAGGCTAGTAACCGTAGAGCCAATGAGAATGCTTCTGCTGTGCCGCGTGCTGCCACCAACCAAGGTATTAGCCCTCCGAGTCGACTTAGTCCTACGGACGATGCTGAATTACCTGTCTACTATTACTATTGAGCATCTCGATATATCATGGTGGTGCTGTCGGGTTCTAACAATACCCAAATGCCTCTCCCAAGATTGGTAGACAAAATTGGTTTCCCGTCGGGAACTTCTAATTCTGAACTTGGTGGAGTACATCCGGGCATGTTTCCAAGGATGCCATATGATGAGGAGTGGCTAGGCTCCAGCGATTGTCTAGGTCCCCTCGTCGAAATGAAGATGATGTCGTAGGGATTGATGGACACCAAACCCTTTTGCGTTTGTCGTACAAGTGATGCAGTCATTGGTATCTGAGGTGGACGATTTGGATTATCTACCTAGCGAGATGCCTTAGGTAAGTTAGCTACCTAGGTAAGGTCGGATGATTCGAGGCATTCGTAAGGGAAGGAAGGTATCTGTGAAGTAAGAGTCCCCGGGGCTTGGTGGTGCCGTCGGGTTGGCGCTGCCGCTGCCGCTGCCGCTGCCGCAGTTTAAACCCCGAGGAGCAGCGCCTTCCTTGGAGGTCCAGCCACCTACCTGACAAAGGTGAGTGCCCCTGCCCCTGCGTTGAGTATTCCGTTGTAAGGAGTACGGATATACAGTAGTCTGGATGGAGTCGTGAGGAAGTTGCGGTTGATGGGCGTTGCTTTCCTCCCCCGGTCGTAGGACTCTCCACCCCCTGGGCCTTCGTAGGTCTGTACCTAGGTTTGTAGGTAAGGTAGGTAAGGTAGGTAAGGTCCCTAAGGTATCCGTACCCAGGTAGAGTGTCCGTAGGTACTCCGTACCGGGCCACCAGCGCCAGGGCCTGTGCCACCCTTCCCTTGTCCCCAATGAGCAATGGTACGTACTCCAAAAAGAAAATACCTACCTTACTGTAGGTAGGTAGGTAGGTACCTACTCTTTGGTGTGAGTCTGTGTCTCCCATCGACGTGGAGACTCAAAACTTATCGCGAACCCTTGAACGACAGCCGCGGTGCACTCACAGCTTCTCTCGACCCGGTCGGGTGGAGCCATCGAAGAAAGTGCGAGATGGAGATGCAAGGTACGTACCTCCACCGCCGTCTCTGTTCAACTTACCTTACGGATACTCTTCCACTCTTCCATGTCTTTGAGAATGAGAATGACTGAAAATGACACTCAAACACAACACCACTGTCGGACCCGACCCCTGCAACACAGCAACAAACCACTCCATCCATTACCGAGTATTGCCATCTTCATCTCCTCTTTTCACCCTCTCTCTCTCTCTGTCTCGTTCATGCTTTCCCCCCCGCCCAGCCTGGACACTTTCCGAGTTCAACGTTGTCCTCCACCGGCCTAGATGCAGTGCAGCGCAGCATCCATCCAGTGTGTGTGTGTGCTGCCGCCTTTCATCACCCACCGGACTGCAGCCTGGCCGTCAATCTGTGTGTGTTTGGCCTCTTCCAGCTCCGTCAAATCTCCTTGCTGCGGCCCAGCCCAGCTGATCCCTTACCGGTGCGCCCATCTTTCCTGTGCTGGTGTGCTGGTGCCAGCCTACAGCCTACCGCATACACTCACCTCTCTCCCAAGCCGTCCCGTCGTAAAGAGCTCCCGTTGAAACTGAGGCGCCCAGTATCTGTAAACGGAGAGGGGAACGAGGCGTTGCTCTTGGCTTGCTCCGTTTAAACCAAAAGGTCATCAGGCACCTTCTTTACCACCCACTTGTCTCTGGTGTCTACGGACTGCAGCCGTTCTCTCTCTCTCTCTTTCACACACACACACACACACACACACACGCACTCTCTCTCTCTATCTCTGCCCTACGGTTCCTTCACCCCCCCCCCCCTTCACTTTACTATCAACACTCCCTTATTCTCAACTCTCTCTCTCTCTCTCTCTCTCTTTTGCCTCTCTGTCTCTGTGTCTAGGTCTGTTTCTTCCTCGCTCTCTTGCCCCTCCCCCCCTCCTTATTCCTTCCCATGCGCCCCCATCTCCATCCCTACAAGTAGGCATCGTGGTAGGTATCCTACCTTACCTGAGATGGGTAATTCGTAGGCTTTCATCACCCGTACTCGCTCATTCGCCTTTCCTCACTTCACCCACACCACATCACACCCCCCTTCCACACAGCCGCACGCCCTCCCCCCTGCCTCCCCTCCCATCCCCTCCTCGTCTTCTGGCGTAAGGCACGGTACCTGTACGAATACCCTTCATCTGCTTGCACGTCTGTCTTGCTGCGATACCTTGTACTAGTGTAGGGTCGCCAGGCTATGTGGAACCTATCTACATAGTTACAACTCCACGCCCTGCGAGGCACCCCTGCTTGTACTTGGCCGTCCTTCGCACTCACGCCGCCAGCCCTGTCGTTGCTGCCGCTGCCAGCCATGTCATTGCTCCCGGCTTGCTGGGCGGTTCGGGCTGAGCTCCTATGAAGCCTTTGGGCTACTTTTTATTTAATAGCTTGCTCTCCCCTTCCTCTGCCACATCTCGCCTCATCATCCAGACTTCCAACAATCTAGACTTGATATAAGTTGCGAATTGTCAACTATCACCAAGCTTCCTCTTCTACATCTTGAACCAATATCCCCCCCCGCCATCCTCTTACACCAAGAAGCACGACAACACAACAGTCCGCTCACAATGTCAATGTTCACCATGTCTCAACATCACCAATATGCCTACCCGGCAACAGCTCCCGCTCCCAGAGCATACTCTGGACACGGAACCAGCAGCGCCTTCAGCAGCTCTGCCAACCCTGATGAAGACTGGACCAAGATCTCCGACCTCGCTGAGCGCAGGAGGATCCAGAACCGCATTGCCCAGCGCAACTACCGTACGTCAAAGCCGTAGTCTCCCAACGATACAAGCACGCAAAAACTAACACCGACTTACAGGCAAGAAGCTCAAGAGACGCCTTGAGGACCTCGAGAGACGCGCTGGCCAGGAAGGCACATCCCCCACCGAGAAGCCCGCGGCAACCAAGAGCACCAAAACCAAAGCCGCGGGCAAGACACAAAAGACGCCCCCGCCAACGAAGACCATGAACCAGGGCCAATTCACTCCTCCTATGAACAACGACGACGAGGTCTTCTTCGCACAACAGCACTACGAGGATGACCGCGGGAGATCCATCACTCCTCCGTTCCTCGCATACTCAACCTACCCTCCGGCTGAAGAGATGATCATGGCTCCCGCATACACCACACAACCGTACCCCATGTCTGCCGCCGAGTATCCCACATATCTCGCCGCAACGGTACCGGTCACACTGCCGCCCATGAACCACTTCCAAGACGCCATCAAGCGCGAATCGTACCACAGCGACGACGGTCTTTCTCCCTACATGAACTACGCGTACATGCCCAGCATGGACATGAACGCGCAAAGCTCCTACGACCCCACGAACCCTCATGTGAGTTATATGCGACAACCGCCTTCCCGCGATACATGATGCTGATGGGTTGATGAGCAGACTCCTCCGCTCTCACACTCGTTTGACCACTCGGCCAACTGTTCCGACGCCGGCTACGAGTATCCCACAACACCACTCTCCATGCCAGGATCTCCTGGCATGATCCAGCAATAGAGAGCGCAGCGCGAAAGGAGGAGGAAAAACGAACATGCAACATCCCTGTCTATCGGAGCGTAGCATTTCTGGCGACTACAATTTGGGTTTCCATCACCGCTTGGTTCTTTTTCGTCCACGATCCCCCCTTTATTTTTTTCTTTTGCACATGTTCAGCGTGGCTTTGGCCAGGAGTTCGGGGGCGTACGGATCGCATGTATTGGTCGAAGCGCTCGACCTCACGGAGATATGACTGGGAATAGGCGACGGCGTTTCACTTTGGGCAGACTGATCACATCGAGGATCGTCTTGTTACGAGGTTTGATACGGCAGTCCAAAATTCAAAAGACGAGATTGTCCCAAACATTCTTTGTACTACTATAGAGAGCAACCTCAAAAAAGTAACACGATATTAATCACATGTGTGCATCATCCGCCTTGACTCTTGTGAGATGTTCGTGCTGGGAAAGGTGTCCGATGACGAGATGGACGTTGGTATGTGTGCCGAAAGGGCGGCAGCAACAGGATGTGACAGCCTGGTAACGAGGAACGACGAATTCTAGCCCGCCGTAGACGACTATACGTATCGTAGGATTATACGAAGCGTGCAGGGAAGGCGGAGTTAAACATCAGTCTGGCCGAGGCGGGTGCGGAGAAAATAGCTTAAAGTTTCTTAACTCCTAGTATCCGTATGGACTCGGGACAAAGCTCGAGACTCGAGATACAAACTACAAGTCTTGGCCAAGGTCAAGGCAGCTGACAAAGCACTTTGAGGAACAGACCTTCTGGGGGTGAGAATGAGGGTGGTGCTGGGTTATTCGTAGCATATGTAGAGACTAAGACACGTCCATGGGGCAAGAGGCAGACAGGAACTTAGACACCATGCTTCAGGAGGTATACTGAACTATGGGAGGAATTGTTTCCATGATACCTCACATCTGGAGAAGACGGTGATTGTCGATAAATTGAATGACCGGGATTCCAGCAATCCTGAGCAATGCAGTACACTAGAGATGAACGATGTCGCGGTACCACCCACGAATGAGCCTCTGCCGCAAGCGAGTGCTCGACAGGGATCAGAGACCAAGACAACTGGAGAGGGCGGAATGGGGGGAACGAGGGGCGGAAAGCATATACGCGAGAATACCTATCGTTCTCCATTTTCTTCAACATAACGCGCAACATAACGCACAACAAGGCTCCCCAAAGGTACCTGAAACAAGATTACGAAGACATCAGGGAGATTTCCGCGCAAACAATGTAGGAACCAGTGCAGCCTGACAGAATACCTATGTGATTTCGCGGAGTAAAAGGAAACCTGTGCCTTGAACAAGTTCCCGACGGGCGGATGTTCGCCCGTAGCCCGGTCGAATCTTGTGAATCGTCGTCATATGCCCTTACGTGTCTTGGGGCCGGACGCCGTGGCGGCGGAACGGCTTTGGTAGTCGTGGAGTTCAGCCAAAAGTCCCAAAAGATAGCACTTTCGAAGGATTGTCTGTAGATAACTCACGCAGGGTACTCCGTACATTGGGTCGGAATAGGAGGAAGAGGAGGGTAGAAGGGCGCTTTCAGAAGCATGCCTTACACGGCAAAGTCCGAACAGCCTGCCGCCCCCTTTCCCTTGCCCCCTTTTATGAGGAGCATGAGAGGAGAGTTCTTACACATGACAAATGGAGCGGGAATATGGCGTGTCAAGAGCATGAGATGGGTGTCTGGACGGATATCACGAAGACGATACGGATAACTCGTACGCAGCGGCAGGGCAGAGCCGGGCGTCGAGAAGGTCTCAATACATCATGTCAAAAGGGAACTTTGGCTGCTGTTGCAGGGCATTCGCAAGGTGTGGCATGGCATGGGATCAACACCTTCATGGGTTGATGATGGATGGGCGGACGGTCCGGGGATGGCATTCGGATGGCTCAAGGGAAGTACGGGATTTGAACCGCTTCGCTTGTCACCCTTTCCTACTGCTGCGAGCTGCGTCTATTGCTCGATTGGGGAAGCATGGCCATTGTCGTACAAGGAGAGAGAGAGAGGCCGACCCACCCCAGGGTTATCACTCGGGCTCTGGGCCAAGGTGACACAAGGAGGATTCGAGTCGGCTGTCAAGCTGCGTACTGCTCTTGTCACCCCCCAGCAAGCGCAAGAAAAGGACCAAGCATTGGGAGGGGAGGGGAGGGGAGAGAGAAGCAAGACCGATTGATAGCGCGTGCAAGAGTTGCCGGCGACCGCATGATGTGTCACCAACGACTTTTTCCCTTACCGGTTTGCCAAGAGGGGCTGCCGCGAGTTCGGTTTGGTGACACAGCATTCGAAGGTAGACGCAGAAGGGGAACTGACTTGCACGTATTGGAAGCGTTTTGCCGCGAAACCCTGGAACGTCGGTCGAAGAGGAGGAGTAGGGGGTGTGGGGTGTAATTGGGGGAGCCCAAACGGTCGGTCGGTTCAGTCAGTCCGGGGTAAAGGTTGTTGATGAGGCCATGCTCCCCTTGGTCTTGATTGATTCCAAGAGATTGGGGGACTTATGGGAGGCGTTTCTAAACTTTACTACGGCCAGTCTCCAAAAGCTTAGTAACTTTTGGGCTAGTTTCTGCTACCAGTCTTGTATCCGAACGTCCACGGATGTTGTTCAACTGGGGGAAGTCGCCGGAAAGTCGCCGAGGGCGGCAGAACGCCATCTTTTTGAGGGAGGAGGAAGACAGCCGAGTGGGAGGGGAGTGCGGGAAAAGGAGACAGAGAGGCTTGAGGGTGGCCGTGAAAGAGACGGGAGGGAGAGATCCCGGGGGGCGTGTGCCGTGTGCGAGTATGTCTTCCGGAGTTAAGCCCCGACTGCTTTCTGCCAACCCGTGCCATCACTGCCATGTCATGTCGTGCAATAGTAGAGCCTCCTCTTCTTAGTAAGGATTCCATCCGAAGTGCGAGCATCTCAGGGTAGGGAAGTTAATCTGTAGGCCGAGATGGAGCGGGAACAATTCACTTTTCACCGGACAGCAATTCATGGTACTCGGGTTAGCCTTGAAGTCGCGAGATGTTCTTCTGAGTTGTACAATCCATCAGGATGATAGCAGTTGTTCCTGTAATAATGCTACCTATGTGTCTAAGGTACGCAGTGCCGGCAAATGTGCATAGTAATGCCGCTAGTGGTCTCATTCCGCGTGTCCTTAAATAGAGTCGCGACCTTTGGAGGAACAAAACACTTTCCCACCATCTCATCTTATGTCTCTGCCCTCTCTCTTTTCGAACCAAAAACAGGTAGCGCTGTTACTAGTAATTGTGAACCGTGACGCTGCGCACGGCCTAGGCTGGTACGGCAGGTTGGATATGTCGGCGAGATTTTGCAAGGTGCCGAAGTTACGGAGTAAACTCTTGTAATTCGTCGGTACGATGATGGCTGCCGAAATATCTGTCATTCAGATTGAACGTTTCCCGGTATTTACCTTAGGCTCCGGTGTTCCCAGAGGATCATCCGACAAATGGAAGAACGGTGGGATCTGTAGGCTTTTCTTCTGTACTCCGTAGGTGGAAACGGAATCGGGACCGGGGCCGGAATAAGATCGGACGGAGTTAGGGGCCGTTCAACAGCAGAAGGCACTACTCAAGATTTCTTCCATCAATACAATGCTCATCCATATTCAACCACGTCGGCGCAGCCAAGTCCCAAGTCTTGGATCAAGGTTCCTCGAAAAGAGTAGGCAAATACTCAGAGTGTGTTTGTTGTATACTTGATGAACTATTAGCTAGTGGATAAATCATGCGTCTGAATAGGCACGTTCTGGACCTCCAGTTTACTCCAATATTCAACCCAATCTTGTCCCTTTACTTCGTCTCAAAACTCATCGGGGAGATCTAGAACCGTCATCATCCCGTCTCAGTCGGCTTCAGCCATGAACCATATCAGGCCGTCAAAAGGCCTTGCCCGCCTCCCCGTCTTACTAAGTCACGAGTCCTCAGAACCGCCATCTTCCTAGTTACACACTCGGGGCCGATCCGGCAGAAGACGGGGGCACAGGACCGGCCCCCGCCAGCTCCAACGCCCGTCCTCATTATCCCGTCACTGCGCTAAAACATCATCCGTCCACGGCCATTTCATGCTTTCCCCAAGGGCGCAATCAAGACAAGCACTTGGGATCTGCCCTAAAACAGTAGGGATGGTCGGGGGGCTGCAGAATACAGAGAAGAAAATGGTTAGTGATTAGTGATGAACATGCACCACACCACTCAGTTGCAGCTCTCCCCACAAGCCTCAATGCCAATATTCATCAGCAACAAGGAACACCCCTTACGTTGCCTTACCTGGTCGTGTCTACCGAGTCGAATGTGAGCCGGATCATCCCAAACAGACGTCGTAACGCCCCGCACCGAGGCGATGAATCGTCAAAGTTAAGACGAGGAGAAAGTAATGTCGCTCATCCGAATCCGTTGAGGCGAGCATTGAGTTAAGCCTCAGCTATTTTCGAGTTTAGCCCACGCTAGCTCTCAAAGACATGTGAGCTTGAGCCCGGCGTGCCGTCTTGAGGCCAAAGCTGCCTTTGGAACATTGACACAACACACACAGACAAACCAAGGGCCTTGTGGCTCAACCCAAGATTGACCTCATTCGTCATTGCATTTTACACTTGAGTTTCGCGCTCGCCTTCGCGACTTCGCCCAGCTCGCCCCTCGGTGTCGCTCGCGCTGAGCCGCACCATTCCAACTTCAACAAACCACCGTCTATGTAGTTAAGTTTCAGGTACATTCTAAAGTAAACCTTCTCGCGTGACATAGCTTGTAAAACCGTTCGTAGCCGTGGGCGAAACTTGTTCAACCATCTCCAACGGGTGAGCAATCCTGTCAATCGGCTGGCTCGAAGATTGATACCGTTTGCCCTAGCGTTTCTCGGCCTTCCTTCTCGGCTCCTTGGCGGAACAGGCCGAGATGATCTCCGTAGTCTGAGTCTTGATTCAAACGTTCTGACAAACCGCCTTTTTCCGAATGCATAGGCTCAGATTCGTAGTGCTTCGGGGTAATTTGAGACAATGACACAGCGATCGACATGCCATTCCCACCTCCAAGGCGACGAGGTACGTCCTCTTACCAATTACGGAACTGAACCCATATGGACTCAATTGATCGTAGGCAGCAATTCGCAGTAAATAGGGAGGCGCTGTTGCTTTATTCGAACTAAGGTATGCGCTGTGATGTGAAGGAGGGAGGATGAACATCACAGCCGTTGTACAGCCACAATTCAGAACATCTGTTGGAGCTTAGGTAACTAAATTGCTGAGCCACAATAGGTAGTTACCGGGACCCATTCGGGTGGGTCATGCTGCACGCCTCTGCGCACTCATCCCATTGGCCAGGATCCAAGTGGGAGCTCATCAGCCTCGCGAACGCTCAAATGAGGTCGTCATGATCCTTCGCGCTCTTCAAAGACTATTGTCCACCGTCGACCGGTCACGACTCAGCCCTATCTTGGAGCCAATTCCGTCCCTGACACCAAATTTTGGATTCTATTACCGGTTCTTGGCCCGTTTCCTGCCAATTGACTAGCTCAAATTTTCGTGCCATCAGTTCTGTTCCGAACCCGCGCCCCAGTGCAATTGCCGGTATAGTCACAGCTTTGCCAACCCGCCAAAGCGCACATCATGCCTCCCGATTGGAAATTGCTCTACCTTTACGGTGGCGACAAGTCAGTGTGCCCAAGTTTGCTAAACAAGCGTTGCTCGTGGTCTTGCCTGACCATCCGGCCTCGTTTTCTGATTTCCGTGTGAACTTGCCTCGTTGACCATCATTTGCAGCCCCTGGGACTCAAGTCTGTGGACCGATTCAGATGATAGAGTACGTGGCGGTAAGAGCCAGTCTCATTTGCACTGCGAATCACCGGAGAAGGCTGAGTTCTTCGGCAACTTGGACATCACCGCTCTGGGAGGAGCAGGATTCGCGTCGCAGAGGACGCTCGGCACACTTGACCTAGACTTGAGTCAGTACGACGGGCTTGCTATCAAGGTCTTGAAGAGCGATTCCAAGAAGTACACAGTCACTATCAAGGATGAAATCCTTCCTCCAAGAGAGGATGGCCGCGACCAGAGCACCATCAGCTGGGAGTTTGACTTTGTTCCCGAAGAGGGCGAAGTGAAGATCCCGTGGGAGCAGTTCAAGGCAACCTACAGAGGCAGGGACAAACCTGATGCCAAGCCACTGGACATTGCCAACATCAAGAGAATCAGCTTCATGATGCGAAGGTAGGACGCAATCCTGTTTGATAAGCAATCCCCCAGCTGTTGTTAACTCCACCACAGCTTCTTCGGAACTCAGTCAGGTGATTTCAGCTTCACTGTTGGCTACCTGGCGGCTTTCAGTAACCGTCGCGAGTCGTCGGGCTCCGATGTTTCATTTCAGAAGGAATATATCGCTGCACCTGCACCGGCTAAGTCATCATCATGGTTGAGTTGGCTTTGCGGATGGGGGGATAGACGAGTTTAAGATGCCAAGGCGACTGCAAAGCTGGATGGCAAGGCGCGCGGCTGGGTAGAAATCACTATTGTTATTAGACATCCCAATATATCCCATGGCGTCAGGGTAGGCAAGTAGATTTCATTCCATGAAGCTACATAGAGCTTTAAGCAATCTGGCCCAATACCTTGATCAAGTCAGCGGTAACACCCATGGCCGTGACATCTCCACCGGCACCCGCACCCTGGACGATGAGCGGGTTGCTGCCGTAACGTTCCGTATAGAAGCTGATGATGTTGTCGCTACCCTTGAGGGCGGCGATGGGGTGAGATGCGTCAAATTGCTCTAGGCCAACCTTGACCTGCTTGCTGGCAACATCGATGCTGCCAACGAAGCGAACGACCTTGCCCTGCTTTTCCGCAGCAGCCTTGGTCTCCTCCATTTGGCTGTCAAATTCGGGCAACTTCTGAAGGAACTCGTCTCCACTTGAGCACGACTCGAGCTCCTTGGGAATCAAGCTCTGGACGGGGAACGAGGTGGGCGACTCGACGGGGAGTCCTGCCAGTCTGGCGAGAATGGTGAGCTTGCGGGCGACATCGAGGCCGTTGAGGTCGTCTCTTGGGTCGGGCTCCGTGTAGCCCAGCTCCTTGGCCTTGGCCACCTCGGCAGACCACTTGCCGCCGGCGCCCGATGTCGGAGCGAAAGAGTTGAAAAGGAAGGACATGGTGCCGCTGAAGACACCCTCAATCTTGGTAACGCGGTCACCCGTGTCGACGAGATCCTTGAGGGTCGAGATGACAGGCAGGCCCGCGCCGACGGAAGATTCGTGGTAGACCTTGGCGCCGGAGGTCGAGGCCGCGTTGAAGATATCCTGCCACAGCTTATAAGAGCCAGAGAAGGCCTTCTTGTTCGGGGTCACAATGCTGATTCCCTTGCCGAGGAAGACGGGGTATGCGTCGGCGACATCCTGGGAGCTGGTGTTGTCGACTAAGACGACCTTGGCCGGGGCGGCGGCAAGGTACTCGGCGAGCTGAGGGAGAGCGGGAGGGGCTTGCGAAGCGCGAGACAGTTCCTCGATGGCGCCGGCGAAGGGAGTAGGGGTGTACTTCGCATCGTACAGGGCCTTCTTGCTGGTCGAGATGTAGATCAAGTTGAGCTTCGGGGAAGGTCTGCGAGTGGCCAAGGCCTCGAGCTGGGACAGGAAGCACTTTCCGACACCACCAGCACCTGTAACACACCGGTTGGTCAACACAAGTTTGCTAATCTTGTACGTGGGGTGGGAGCAAGGAAAGCCTTGAGGTTGTCTCAGGAGGTGAGCAATTCTTACCAATGATGGCGATGAAAACTTGCTTGGAGGAGGCCATTGTCACTTGCTTGATTGACTTTCGTCGATTGACTCAGATGTACTAGCAGAAGAGGATGTTCTGCAAGTGTACGTTGGGAAATAGACTCATTTTCGAAGCCCCTCCGACCGCGGGGCAGCTCTTAGTGGGGTAAACGCCATTCAGACCCCGATAATCTTTCGGTGAGTGCGGGGTCGGTGCTCCGCTCACCGAGGAAAACACCGGCCTTCTCACCGAGCGACCGCATCCGGCAGACGGGCATGTCGGCATTCCGCACCTTTCTGAAGACCGAAGCCTAGGGAGCTTGGGCCCTCCTTGGCCAGGTCGTGTCGTCATTCACTCCAGTCTCACCAGGGGTGAGCTTCGGCCGAGTGGACTTCATACAAATCCATAGGGCTGACTCTACAGCAAGCTCAATTCGATTCTGTAGCTCATAAAGGGTTGCTTGTCCCCGATCTTGCACCGTGGGAGGAAACAGGCGATATCCTCGCAATAACATCACCCATCATGTCCCTACTACAATCTCTCCTGCACCTCACCAACTTCAAGAACCCTCTGCTGCGGACTCTGATCCCCGCCGTCTCAGCAGCGTATGCGATCCAGGCAGCCTTCGCTGTACCGTCAATTATCGCCCAAAATGAACGTTTCTACGACTTCTCTGGGTCGCTGACCTATTTGTCCGTCACTGCTCTGAGCTTATACTTGCCCTCTCTCCGTGCCAAATACTCCTCGGCCGTTGCCAGTTCGGCACCGCTCCCTGGTCTGCTCGAAGCGTTCACCAAGCCCGGTGGCGTGGGAGCCCTCAACTGGAGACAAGTCGTCATCAGCGGTGCCGTCGCCTTCTGGGCTGTCAGACGTAATATGCCACTCCTCTAGCCGCGCGTGATGGCCAAAAACTGACTGATTGTGAACCGCAGTCGGATCATACCTCTTTCAGCGCATCCTAGAAGAAGGCAAAGACTCTAGGTTCGACGAGATCAAAAAGTCCCCGGCGAAGTTTGCCGGCGCCTGGTTCGCCCAAGCGACCTGGGTTTCCCTCTGTCTCATGCCCGTCATCGCTTTGAACTCCGTGCCAGCCGCCGCCTTCGCCTCTCTTCCCGCTTTCAAGATCACGGACGCCATTGGCCTGTTCGTCTACGTCGCTGGGTTCGCATTCGAGATCACGGCAGACAGGCAGAAGAGCAAGTGGCTGCGCGAGAAGCGCGCAAAAGCCCACGACGAGCAGTTCATGACCAAGGGTCTCTGGAGTGTTAGGTATGTCTGGCGATTACACCTGAGCGATGCGCGTGTTGCAAGACCGCATGCGACGCTGCCCTTCGACGCTGCGAGAACAAGACACAAGCTGACCCTCTCTCTAGCCAATATCCCAACTACTTTGGTGAGATGTCACTCTGGACAGGTATCGCGACTGCGGCGGCTGGTGTACTTGTGACACAACCCATCCAATTGGCACTCGGCTTGTCGTCTGGCGTCACCGGGCCACTTACTGCGATGGCCATGTCCTATGTGAGCCCGGCCTTCGTCAGCTTCCTTCTCCTTAAGGTGTCGGGAGTGCCCATGAGCGAGAAGAAGTATGACAAGCGCTACGGTGACCGCAAGGACTACCAGGAGTGGAAGAAGAACACGCCCAAGTTGGTCCCCAAGATCTTCTAAATGCGCAGGTTCTGCTATGGGCATCACAATCTTCAATGCGTCTATCGTTGTTTGGGACATACTCAATGGTCAGCGAACTTCACTCTGTAGATGACTCAAACGTGCAATTCATTCAATGCATATCCTGTTCCTGGCCAAAGCAAGGTTACGATCTACGGCCAGACAATTATCCTTGAGCTCGCAACAGGGAATCCTCAATCCAATCCCTTCTTGGCACGTAGCCAGCCAGCCTCATGTTCATTGCATTTGTCCCAAAGCGCCACATTAAAGAAGAATAAACCACCCGCCAGGTTTCGGTAAATCATAAATGCGCCGTGTTCTCCCACATTTTGGTGTAAGATGGTATGTAGCACGAGGACACCAGTCGTTCTTCCCCAGCAATATACTTTACTGGTGGAACTTCTTGACCTTCTCAACCTCGTCGAAGCTGCCCATGAAGATTCCAGCTCTGTCGTGAATACCCTCGGGAACGACGTCCAACATTCTCCTCATTTGGCTGTCTACCGCTTGGCCACCGGCTGTGATGATGTTGTTAGCATGCTGCGGTTCAATCGGTCTGACAGTCTGCAACTAACCATTCTCAAATACCAAGGCCATGGGCGCGCACTCGTACAGGATACGAAGCTTGCCCTTGGGGCTCTTCTTATCCGCCGGGTAGGCAAAGACGCCTCCGTACAGCAACGTGCGGTAGGCGTCGGCGACCATGGAACCAATGTAACGCGCGCTGTAGGGCTTGCCGTTCTCCTGCGGCGTCTTCAACGAGTTGAAGTAGTTGTTGGTGCTGTCCTCCCAGTAGAGCGAGTTACCCTCGTTGACGGAGTAGATTGCGCGGGACTGGGGCAGGCGCATGTCTGGGTGGGTGAGGATGAACTCGCCGACGCCGTTGTCGAGGGTGAAGCCGTTGACAGTGCCGCCCTTCATGGTGAGGACGAGCTGCGTCGAGGCGCCGTACATGGTGAAGCCGGCGGCCAGCAGCTCGGAGCCGGGCTTGAGGATGTCCTCCTTTGTGCCGGTGGAACCCTCGGGCAGCTTGTGGATGCCAAAGATGGTGCCGACGGAGACACCGGCGTCCAGGTTGGAGGAGCCGTCGATGGGGTCGCAGGCGACGGCATAGCGAGCGCCGGTGGCGTCCTTGAAGAAGATAATCTCCTCCTCCTCTTCCGATACGAGCAGGGCGCAGCGGCCAGAGGACCTCATGGCTTCGATGAAGAGGTCATTGGAGATGACGTCGAGCTTCTTTTGGTCGTCGCCCGTGATGTTGGAAGAACCGGCCAGACCCGTCAAGTTGACCAGGGTAGCTCGGCGGATGTAGTATGCGATGGACTTGAAGGAGAATTGCAGGGCGTGGCACAGAAGACTGGGACTATCGTTAGGAGCTATCACGGGGGGTTGGAAGCGCGTATGAGACCTACGTAAAATCTCCGGTGGCTTCCTTGTGCTTGGTTTGCTCTTCCGTTAGGAAACGGGTCAGGGTGATAATGTTGGTGTTGATCTTCTCGGTCTCTTGTTCACCGGCGTTCGTTGTGTAGGCTGACATGATGGGCTAGATTTTGGTCTACAAGTACCGAGTCTTAGCTATCAATGGGAGAGGAGGAAGGGTCTGGACAACTTGTAAACAGAGAGAAGACTTACGGAATAATTCTAATGGAGGACGAGGGGTTGACACTTGCGATGGCGGGGTTTACGGGAGCTCTAACAAAGAGTGTTGCGCACTGACACAATGGTTCGGGATGTAGGCCGAAGGATAGTAGAGGGTAAGTAGATGAAGGGAAATGTTGTAGGAGGAAGGCAGGGAGGGAGAAGAGAGAGAGAAGTAGTCAAGAGATGCGATCACGAAGGAGGAATTGGAAGGGGAATGAACCTTGTTTGTAGTCCCGGGTCTTGGGGCATGGACTATTACTAGGTAATTACCTGAGACTTCAATCATCAGCGTTGCCGGAAGCTCTCGTGTGTGTACTTCCGTACCAAGGGGTCCTCTTCTGGCTCTCGATGGGCAAAAGCATGGTCCATGGCCCAGCCATGAGAAAATGCCCCTCAGTTCGGCATACGGCTATCACAGGGCCACACGTCCTATTATCGCGCTCGATCCCGAGTCACCACGACAAAGTGGAGTCAACCGCAGGCACCTCCGGCCGAGGGGAACCCGAGACATGGGGACGCGGGCGCAACAAGGAGAGGACGCAAGGCGTCCCTCGAGGATTTCTCGGAAACCCTCGGCGCGGTGTGCAGCGAGCACACACGATGGCTGCGGCAGTCTACGGGTGGCTTTGGAAAATCAGACTCTGAGAGGGCGGCTGGGCTGGAACAGAGAACCTTGCCTTTGGCGGGGGCGGGGGGGCCACGCCGCACCTTTGTGTGGGCAACGCAGCTTAGCAACACTAATAATTCGCGTCGAGGGGGAGGGGCTCCAGAGCCAGAGGCAACTCTTTCGGGGATAGGAGAAGAGCAGGTAGAGGAGCGGCAGAGAGGCACGGCGGATAAGACATGACCGATGGAAGGGGGTGACATCATGCGGGCGATGGGATGAAAGTATTCTGGAGTCTGGACCCTAGCACCTTTTTCTATTGCCTTCCAAGCCGTTGGATCGGACGGATATGTAATAATCACTCTGTTTCGGTGTATTGCGTTGATAATCTCCCTTCTCTTTGGATATGGATGTTGCGGCGATGCTTTACTGTCCATGTTCTTTCCCAGTCTGTGGTGAGAAAAAGGTGTTAACTTTGTCCGGACCAGTATGCTTCTTGTAGCTCGATGGGACTGACGGGGGTCGATTCTATGTACCTAGGTGTCGGATGGAAATAGAAAGACACGAGAAGTGGGATGGATTGTGAATGACAAGGGGGTTTCCGGGAATCCACTACCTACAATTACCATAGGAGGAAAAACTAGTCGTTGTGTAGTCATGGGAATTCAGCCTCTCCATACTGGTTGTGGATAGGGAAGATCCAATATCCGTACCTTACCTCATAGAGAGGAGGAGCAGTTGGTTGCTCGTGTCTGGAAAAACGGTAAAGATTCAAAGCAGAAGGGAAACGCTCCAACGCCTCCTTACCAGGCATAACTAGAGAATATTCTCGGCGTGGATGCTACCTCCCTACGCAGGACCTTAGCCGCAAAGGGAATGATTCCGTATGCACTTGGTCATTGGGATATAAGTTGCTGATGACTGGCCCCTTTGGCCTTGGGTAAAACGTACTGCCGTCAATTGTCACGGGTCACTCGATTTCCCCAGTGAACCGCCCCACCTCCTTAGCTAAGCCGTCCGAGTCGAAGAAAGTCTGTAGGCACGTGAGAGCCTTCTCCGCACCCGGCTCCTGTTGCTGTTGGCGTTATGGCTACCCAGGTGCGCGTCCTTCCGTCTGTCTGCCTCCCCGGGTCCCCAGGCTCCCAGCCAGCACCCCAAGCCCCAGCTCTGGCGATGTCTCGGGCTCGCTGGCGGACCTCGGCATGTGGCAGCTCGTCTTTGAGCCGGTCGGCTTGCCCAATGCTCTGCTCTCTCTCTCTCTCTAAACCGCACCACCCCCGATAAGAATCCCTATTTGCTTTCGATACCATACTTGAATGCTACAACCTCCGCGTGAAGACCAGCCCACTCATCCATCTCGTGCTGCTTCCCCATCCAAAAAAAGGGCCATCTCCATAATCCAGCAAAACATCATCATCTAACTCCACCATCCCATCCATCCCATCCGGTGATTTGCAATCCCATCAAGAACCGCCAAAATGGTCGCCGACGCCCTCATCTACCACCCGTCCGTATCGCACTACAACAAGTTCGTAGCCACCACCGTCGGTCGCGACAAGATCCTCCGCACCCTCCAGTACTTTGCCCGCTTCTACGCCTGGTACCTCTTCCGCACCAATGGCTCCAAGGCCGAGATCGCCCCTTGGGATGCCATCAAGAAGCAGTTCGGCCTGACCCGCAAGATCATGCGCATCGGCAAAAACGTCGAGCACTTCAAGGCCGCCGCCGTCGCCTCCGACGCAAAGACAATGGACCCCGTCCTCCGCTACGCCGCCGTCGGCCGACAGCTGGGCTACGCCGGCTACCTGACCTTTGACGCCGCCACCGTCCTCGACGCCGCCGGCATCAGAAAGTGGGAGGGCGCAAAGAGGCTGCAAAAGGAGGCCTACCGCTTCTGGGCCATTGGAATCCTCTTCAGCGTCGTCGCCCAGACCTACACCCTCTACCGCCTCCAGCAGCGTGAGGCCAAAGTCGATAAGAAGGAGGGCGAGGGTGTCGTCGAGGCCAAGAGAATAGCAATGTACGTTCCGCATAGTCCGTCCCTTTCACCACCCACCCTTGAATGCTTTTTCCAAAGTTCTGGCAACACCAAGCTGACAAAACAAACAACAGTGAGCGCGCCGCCGGCCGCCTGCAACTCATCTCTGACCTCTGCGACTTGACCGTCCCCACCTCTGCCCTCGCGTGGGCCAACTTCGACGACGGTATCGTCGGCCTTGCTGGTACCGTTAGCAGTTTGATTGGCGTGTATACCCAGTGGAAGAAGACGGCATAATCGCGTTGCCGCGCGGAACAAAGGAAGGATAGTGCGTTGTATATGTATGCTTGTGATGATTTGTGTCGATGTCGGATAACGAGATGCGTCGTCGGAGCGATTGGTATTGTACTTGTCTACTAAATTGAAGAGTAGGAACGTTAGGGGTAGAGCTTGACTGAGGCAATGCTTTTGAAATCTTTTGGGCGTTCGGTATGTACCTAGCCTGAGCTGAAGGCATGGTGCCATGATGGGCGGGATAAGGTAGGCAGACTGCTAGCTACTCCCTGCTGTCGATGCGGACATGATAGTCGGATTGGATACCAAGTAATCCTCTTTCACCAACATCGAATATTCAAGATATCTACGAACGGAAACATCTCTTGCTCTTGCTGATGGCAAGTGGTTTTATCGCCCTCAGTCGCTACAGCTAATTTGGCAGAAAACCACGTCCGGCCTGAGCCATGACACATAATTCTTTGATTGACTCGAAAGCCGGCCCCAAAGGACCAAAATTGTGTTCATAAAGCGAATACGCCATTTCATTTTTGGTGGATATCCATGCATGTAATCGTACAATATACATCAGGCACTCGACATTTTTTTCCCCTCCTGAACTCAACGGACCCAGAATCGTTGCATCCACAGCTGTGTTGTTGATGATGCTTCGACAAAAATCGCAATTTGAAACATGCCTGGAACGTCTGCTTGACGAACACCGTAGAGGCGCAAGCCTAACACTGCTCAACTACCTCATCCTAATTCATTCTCACGGAACACCGCTTGTTGCCATTGATATTTACCATTGTGGCTTGAGCCACTAGAGTGGAGGTGCTTCCAGGATCTATGCAGAGTCAAGGACAGCCCCTATGAGGCAAGTTTATGAGCAGGAGTGAGTTACCAGTAACGGCCACCACGGTCATACTCGCGAGGGTACCCATCACGCGGGTAACCTGCTTCCCTGGGAGGGAAGTCTCTAGGGGGGCGATCATACGGCCCTCTGCCGTTGACATAGGGGTCGGGCGGCGGGGGGTAGTCCCGTCGGTAAGGGTCGTCGTAGCGGCCTCGTGGAGGAGGGTAATCGTCCATGGGGCGACGCGGAGGAGAGCGGTAACGAGCACGCTCGTCGTAGTACTCGCGGCGGGGACTACGCTCACGGTATCCCTCACGATAACCATCTCTGCGTGGGCTGTAGCCTCTCGGGGGACCACGTCGGTCGTAGTCGTCGACTGGAGGCGGGTAGGGTCGACGGCCGCCGCCGGGGGAACGAGACCGAGCGCTGCGCATGTCGCCACGGGGCGGCATGTCCGGTTGAGTCTGGTGAGACGTGAGTACAAACATTCTCTCATCATTGGTCATCTGCTCTCGCTTACGTCTGCTACGCAGGTGACGCGGCTTCCCTTGAATTCCCGGCCATCAAGCTTCTCGACAGCGGTTCTCAAGTCCGCCGCAGTCTCGAATTCAACGAAGCTGGATAGAGTCTTGGTCAGCAAACGCAAAATTGCAGGTGTTAGGCTAAGGTCAACATACCCGCGCCCGTTGCCGTCGCGGGGCGTTTCCGAGTAGACAACGTCAAGGCTTGACTGACGAGCAAAGTCTTTGAGGTCCTATATCCAGAATCCATGTAAGTTGGTGTCCAGGATCGGTATGATGGGCCGAAGAGGGCTGCTAATCCAGGATTCATAGACCAGTCGGCAGCAAGCCAAGGGGATTGAAGCCAGGAGTGGTGTCGTCCGGCATTGGGGTTCCGTCGCTGCTTTGGCAGGCCCGCGCCGGTTCAAAGAAACGGCCATGGACTTGGGAAAGCAAGTTTCAGGAGCGCAGCACGGTCCGGACTAGTCGACTGACAGGCCGCCAATGGCTTGGAGCTGAGGCTATACAGCATGCCGGAAAGTCCACAGTCCACCTCGAAGGGTACGATGAAGGTCCAGGCGCGCCATAGGCGCAAGAAGAGAAGGGAATCCAGGAATCCAGCTTAGAGAATGGGGAGAGAACAACAGACCTGCCAACTGGTATCGGTGGGAAGTCCCGTGATCTGCATTCGGTGGGGAGTGCGGCGAGGCCTGGGAGGAGCGCGCTCATTGTTGCCAAAGCCGCCGGCACTGCCGCCCTCCCTGTGACGGGTTCCACGGGCAAATTGTACAGTCAAGCGTTCGCCCATGAAGTCGGATCCATCTTTTCAACGCTATGGTTAGCGCACCAGAAGTGAAGGGATATCGTTACGTGGTGGGACGGCGCAGTAGGACATACGGAAGGCTAGGCAAGGAAGAAGTTAGCAACAGAGTAATGCATATAGGCGCAATCATAATTAGAGCTGGGATCACCTACCAGGAACAACATCGCGAGCATCCATGGCATCCTTGTACTCGATGAAGCCGAATCCGTTCATGAGCTTTATTTCGGTAATTTCGCCGGTGCCATGGGTCGCGAAATGGGCCTCGACATCAGCCTTGGTGGCTACGAAGGTTAGCCAGGTTGCGACAAGAACGCGCCGCGTGGTGCGCAAGGCTGAGCTTACCATTGCGAGGGAGATTTCCCAGGTACAGCCTGGTGGAGGATACCTCGGTCATTGTGGCTTTCAATATGATGCGTCCTTGGGTAAACAGTCAGGGTCGGTCGTTGGATAGAAACAAAGGTTGGCCCAAGATTCCGGTCTGGATGGAGGAGAATTCGCGGAGGCGATGGCCCGCAGACCGGGCAGGGAGAGATGTCCAAAGGGTTTCCAGAGCAGTCCTGATGGAATAGCTGCGAAGGCAGAAAATGGGGCGACTGGACCGGGAAGGACGAAGCTTCAACGGTCGAGGCCAGCTTTGACCAAGGCGCAAAAATTCAGGTATACTGACGATTCAGGAAGACGAGATGCCCGGTCTAGTCGTTGCTCGACGTCTGCGAGAGGGGAATTGAATCGACGGGGGACGGTTGGTGGGCGGGGATATTATGAAGACGGGGATTTCGACGCTGACCCGGTCGGTCGAGTCGCGATGCGATTGGTCGGAGCAGAGATGGGATCTAACTGTGTGAGAGGTCGAGGGCGCAGGATTCGGAAGAGGAGGAAGAGGAGGGGTTCTGGAATGGATGTGGTTGTGGTGGTTTGAGGAGAATGGGACAAGGTGAGGTAGGTAGGTGTGGTGGTCAGGCAAATGGAAGGTATTTGATATTGCTTAGGTAGGTTGGTGGCATCCGTACCTCAGGTAGCTACACAGCAAGGTAGGTAGGTACCCTTGGGCAAGCGGTAAAGTTCCTTACCTCTGCGACGGGAGGTACCGCGGTACAAACAGTGGGTACCTGGTGAACCTATGTTCCTTGCGATTCGGTAAGGTAGGTAGGAACTTAGGAGGAAGAGGATGAGAAGGAGCTTGATTTCTTCCTTTTCCTCTTGGATAGAAAAAAAAAAAAAGGAGCAGGGGAAACAGCAGGAGGCTAGGAGCTGTGAGTTCGAAAAGAAGGAGGGTGGAGCGAAAAAGAGAATCAGACATGGGCCTGGAGGGGAGGCGAGGAGGAGAAGACTGAATCTGGGCGTGATGGGCCGCCAGCCGGGCCCCAGAGCACAGCTGCGGCCTTCTGCTTCTGGTCCCAAGGTACCTTTGAGCAGTGAGGAGAGCGCCTGTCCCCCCAGACTAGACGTAGCATCAGCCAATGATCGCGTTTGATTCAGTCTCCTCGACCATCCTGATCCTGGCTCGTACCTGACAATGGTGGGAACCTGAGGTAAGGTAAGGTACCTAGGGAACCTCACCTCACTCCAAAGGTACTTTTTGAAAATACACGAGCTCAGGTTCTTTCTTTGAGTCGCAGAACAGCCAACACCTTGCTTTCTTCATCATTCAGAATACTCAGCCAATTCCGTCTACCTAAGAGCTCTTGCGCCCAAGTCCTGAAGATGTCATCACCTTCAGAGTGACTCTTCATTGATTCACTCATTCATTACAACAGCGATGGCTTGAGAACACCGGGAAGATGAACCAAAAGTCTCTGGCTTGTTGAATATTTCACCTCGAGGAAGGAACCTTGCCGTTTTGCCAGATCAGTTACATCGCTCTAACCCAGCTCAGGTACGGATACCTCGCCAGACCAGGGTCTGCGAAAGGGGAACATCATGTCCGAGGGCTCGCTTTCATCCGATCAAGCTTCCATTCGGCTCCACGAGTCTATCTCACCAGAAATCTCATGGCTAGGAGGCCAGCCAAGTTTCATTCCTGTTGTGCTGTAAGGAGTAAAGTCTAGACAACATCTCGACTCAACTTTGCGACAATTCCAGGGGAAGATGCTCCCTCTATGCGCACAGGTACCTTACTCAAGGTATTCATACTGGTCATTGATCACGGCTAAAAGAAAAGGCGTTCCAATTTCAGGCTAGCTCATGCACGTTGAATTTGACACTCTTCAGTTTGAAGGCCGTCACCTGTGGCTAGCTCCAACGGTCACTGTGGCGCTTTCCCTCCGCATCCTCCTTCTTCTTAGGTTTAATTTCTTTTGTTTCTTCAATGGTTTAAATGTCCCGGAGAGGAGGAGAACAGGAGGAGTCGCCGGCGCAACTTCAAACTCCCCTTAACGTCCCAAAACAGAGAGGGGACGAAATAAGGAAGATCTCCGTCAAGGATAACAAACTCCTCTCGGCTTCGGTCCTATTCCGATTGCCAACATCGCACTGCCCAGCCGGGCCTTGTATCCACGTTGGTTACAAAGTGAATACGGGATGCACCAGTGTTCGGCAACCATTATCACAGTAGAAAGTCTCAGCGAGAGACAGAGACAACAGAGGCACGCCGGGCGACCTCGTCTCCAGATCGGTGCCACCCCGGCGCCCTGGCACCCCCCTTTTTTCCCGTACGAACCGCTGCATCTGGTAACCAAGCCCAGGCAGTTCCAGGACCTGTCTGTTTCACCATCCCGCAATAGGGCAGTCGACACCAGGCAACGTCTCAATTCATAGTCACATTTCAAGAGAAAAACTAAGCCGAGATTACCGTGACCATCAGGAAAATCGGAAGATCAATGGCAAGGAGCCAAGTCTGCCAAGACAGCTCGGATACTGCAGCAGGTTGACTTTACTCGATACTTTGTGACTTGTGCAACGAACCAACTTCCACTCTCCACCCTTTCTCCCGCAACAGCTATCCATGGCAAATCAGGGATGACTTGAGAGAGCGAGGCCGTCGCGCGCATGCCATCCGATTACCTTACACTACTTTGACACACGATCTGATTAGTAATGGTCGACTGATAGATAGAGTAGATACTTGGTTGTCGCCATATCGCCCAACAAAGCTTGACGATCCGATGTGCGGTACCACAAACACATAAGCCAAACCCATCCAAGACATGACGAGCGTTCGGTAAATGATACACCCTGGTGTAATCCTGAGTGTTCTTAATCGTCAGAACCTCGATCGAGCCTTCCGCTCTTAAGGGGTGGTGGGACCCCAAAACTCGAGGTCAGCCTGGCCTCGAAAGTCAGACGGCTCAGCAAAGACATCCATTATTCGTATCCGACCTGGTTCTGTAACAGAGACGGGTCTCCTTACTGTTCCTGCCTATTCCACATATGTTCTCCTTTCCTCTGCCGACCTATATGTCAACGGACAAGCAAATTTAATCCACCGCTCTCGCGGGTGGGAACTTCAGACTCATTGTCCCATGAGCCAACGTGCAATTTTTCTGTGCTAGCTTTCATATTGCACGTTTTTAAAGTTCTCACCATTGACTTGAATGTGTCTTGAGCTTCATTAATCTCGCGAATTTGGAGGTCTCTGCCTAGCTTCTTCATGTAAGTTTGCGTATCTAGTTGACTAGACAATTCGTCGCGATTCCTGGGAAGCCGCATATCCTCCCGTGGACTTCGTAGGACACAGTCTCGTGCCTCTTGTCGCTTCATTACATCTTTCCGTGAATAGATCCCTGTCGGGACTTTTGCATTATATGCCACTTCTTGGGCCATCCGCCTTCCTCTCCCCTGTCATGAGTGTGAATAAGTATGTATGTACTTCCGGACGAAGAAATATTAAACCAGACGCCTCCTCATGCAACCTCATAATCGTTTCCGGCGTATGCCGCCGGTTTGGGTTGAATGATCGTACTCCCGTCGCCGCATCATCTGTAAACACATCCGAATGGTATCAAACTGACCAAGTAAGCAAAGCCTGCGCGTCTTAACCAAACAAAGTTTCTATCAATTCATCCATAAACGTAAAGGCTAAGTGTGCGCTGAGAAAAGATGTCTTGTTAGCAATGTGACAACCAGCGGCAACTCAGCCTTGCACCGACAACTTACTTGAGTCTCGAATTGTTGAAGGTTGCGAACACACGCCGGCTGGCTGCTTGTGCATTCACTCTTCCGACAACGCTTCCTGCTAGGTCGGGTATAAGGGTAGCCAACATCAAGCTGGCTTCCGTCCTCGTCTTCTTCTTCTCTGATGACGTCCTCGGTTGCTTGTTCTTATTCATTTCACCGCCGGGCCACATGCTATCCTTGAGCAGGGCGATGTACTTGATGATGGCATCTTCCTGTACGAGCATCTTGACATTGTCTCGAACCTTGCGCTCGATTGTGCCGCCCAGTAGCTGTTGAAGGACAACAACCACAGCACGACCTCGAAGCCAGTTGTTTCCTCGGTTGAGTTCAAAGACTTCTAAGAAGATGTCGCAGATAGGCTTGATGAAAGACTCTAGCTCCTTGTTCTCGAAAGCGTTCAGTTCAGCCTCGGCCTCAGCAGCGCTGACACCATCCTCGTTAACAGGTAGTGGCATAGCGTTCAGCTGGTTAGTGGCTGCTGCGATGAGATTCTGACCAGCCACAGACAATTGATCCAAGACAGGAATGTTGCCGAGGATGTCTTCCATTCCATCCGTGACGGAGTCGTAGAACCTTGTGATCATGTCTTTCTTGTCCTCGCGATCCACAAGATCTTGGCCTTGCGCTATCACACTTTGTGACAAGAATGCTCGCAGATCTCGACTCCTGCACGCCTCTGGAAGCTGAAGGAGATCTCGGAGGTACTTCTCAAGGGCCGTCCGTCGTTTGCGTAGAAATTCACTCTGGAACTTCATAACCATCCTTCGCCTGGGAAATTCCAAGTTCCGAACAGAAGGATATCTTGAGCGAAGTCTCTGATGCAAATCGTGGAACTCGCTATACCGGCGAGTAACCATCCAAGTCGCGGCTGGCATCTTCTCGCCAGCATCTCTTTGCACCTCGATCACATACAGGGCGAATTCCCTTCCATCGTCTTCCTTGCCGACTTGGATGGCCTTGATCTTGATCGTTGACCGCCCGTACAAGCTGTTGTCGCTCTCTTGAACAACGTACTGTTGCCTTTGAAGTTCTTTGCGACGGATTTCACGTTGCAAACTCGCCTTGGACTTCCGCAGAATACGAAGCTCAGCCGTGTTGTTCGTGAGGTCCGCCTTCTTTGTTAGTGACTCGACAATAGCATCTTGTGCTATGAGGCGGTCAATATCATTGGACAACGCCGTGATAGCTTCTGCTAGCCCAAGGTCACCAGGGGCTGCTTCCTGGATTTCGTCCTCAACATCGCCTTTCGTCTCTTCCTCTGGATCGTCTCGTTCGTCAGAAAGGTACTTCTCCTCATCACCAAAAAGATCGTCATCTATAAACACTCCAATACGAGATGCCGCGCTAACGAGACCAAGAGATGCAAGGCTTGGTTTGTCGATTTCCTTGGAGGAAGCTGCAGGTCTCGGCATTTCAAGTGATCCGCGAAGGGATTCGTTATCTCCAGAAAATAAGCTTGACCTGTCGACTTGATCATCCGTCCCAAACAATGACTCTCGAAACTCTTCAGCCGTTTGCGGCCGATTGTCCTCCATTATATTGTTCAGAGCTTCTTCCATTGCTTGCACCACGTTCGTATCTGGCACAGGAGGCTTGCCTGCGTCCTGGTCAAGACTAGCGACCGAGTCCATCATGCCCTCCTGATCGAAATCGTCGTCGTCAAACAGCGGGGTTGAAACATCTTCCTCGAAAGAACGACGTTGCTTAGAGAGCGATTCGGAACCGTTCCCGTTAAGAGTGAGGCTGGCCAAATCCGATGCAGAACCAGCTCGCCTTGACAGTGGTCGTGTTAACCTTGGGGCTATACGGGTCACAGGACTGGGCTTAAATTGGAAGGAATGAGAGCTTCGATGCGTCGGTGGGTGTGCTGGAGGTGCTGGAGTAGACGCTGACGGCTCTGCAACGGGTAGTGGTGCACTTTTCGCTGACGCTTCTTGTGAGGCTAAGCACTTGTAGAACAGATCAGACTTCTTGAAGGCCTGGAAGAATTGGGCTTGCATTGCGTCCAAGACAGCTGTCTGGGCCCTCAAGATTGCTCTGCGAGCTCTGTAGTACTGCTCGGGAGTGGCTGTCTTGCCGGCGTTCAGGAAAGCGCGCACCTCATCTCGAGAAGCTTTCGAGACCTTCAGTTCGGGTTTGGATAGATATGCGTGGTCAATCTGGCCCAAATCCTCACGGTCAGAACTCGTCCACATTGGTAGATTGGACGGTAGGTGCTCGTCATCTTGGCCCTCATCCTCCAAAGGGTTGCGAAAGCCATCAACAACTAGCCAAAATTGGACTAGAGGCATCATGTGGTGACGATCCATGAACTCCATGAAATACGACAAGCCTGACGCATCTCGGAGCAGGTCAACAAGAGATGCATGCTCTAGCTTGGAGGGTGCCTGAGGAACACCGGAAGGGCGGGTGGGCAAAGTCGCAGAGGACTGTCGACTTCCACCAGCAGCAAGAAGCTGAACGCGTTCATCCAGTAGTCGCTTGCCCATTTCTAGTCGTCTGAGGTAGACCTGATCCTGGTTCTCCTCCAAGGAATCCCGCTTCAACTGGCTCGCAACCTCGCTCCGTAGCCGCCTTGCATCCGAGAGATTGCTGACTTTCCGAATAGCGCGGATGAACTTCTCAAACTTTCTCTCACTATCGGTGGGCGAGAGACGGGGTATAATGGCAGCCTTGCCCGATCTTGGTGCTGGAGAAGCATGTTGATCCAACGCCGCCCTGAGCTTACGGACTGTCGACCGGTCTTGCAACATCGAACGCCCGTAGTTTTCCATAACTTGATTCCATGTATCCGGCTCGGCTAGGATTTGCATTACGGGAAATAGCACAGCACAGGCGACGATCTCTCGGATGATGCTCGAGACGGCTCGACTGGCAAGCATGTTTGGCTGTAGGACTTTTGGCAGAATTCCAGACACCATCTTTCGCAAATAATCTTGCTGTACGAGCTTTGTGTCGGGAAATGATAACGAAGCTGCGGGATGGAGCTTCCCATCCTTATATTTGGAGGCAATTGCGAGGTCCAGCTCCTCCGATTCCGTCACCGATCGATTGAGTTTCTTCCCTCGGACAGCTCGCTCGGCCTCGTAGAAATCGCGGAAATGGGCGTTGAGCATCGGTACGATTCGAGTGGTGACGATGTCGACGAGGTCAAGCTCCAAGAGGCGCTCTCGAATGTTGATGAGGGCATCGCGCACAGCTTTATCGACCTCGTTGGAGAAGACTGGGTTTTTGCTGATGTTGGAATACCACGAGCTGACAAAATCCCGTATGATGAGTTCGAGGAGGTCGTCGAGGGCTTTGGATATGCGTTTGGAGTTCGGGTCGAGAGCGACTTTCGTATAAGCCTGTCTTGTTTGAAGGCTTGAGACCTGTCGGGCCCAGGCCTTGGGTGCGAGGAATGCAGGGCCATTTGGTCGCGGGGATCGGTGTCGCAAACCACGGCCGAAGCCGCGCGACGTAACGAGGACGAGGGTGAGAAAGGCGACAACGGTCAAGATCACCCCTCCCACCAAGGCGTATCCTACCCATCTCAAGACCGGGACCCAGCTAACAGCATAGCCCCAGGCTATGAAGCATGTGATGGCGGCAAGGATCAGTTCTCTTCCTTGCAAGGCCATATCCAGATCGGTTGTGAGGGGCGATAGGCTGTCGCTACATCGTACGTTGTCGAAAACTGCGGTACTCTCGGGAGCTGCTGAGTCGGAAGATCTGGAGGAGAAGAAGAATAGGTCGACTTGGCTGGGCTTTATCGATTTCAGGGGACGTGAAGGTGCGGGTCGAGAGACACGTGTGGATAGTGGATGGCGGATGATGTTGAGGTGTGACCGTTGGACGCTTGTTCCCGGTGCTTGCAAGGTGAGGGAGTACCTACCTAAAGTAGGCGTGTACCTCGGTGAAGTATACCTGACCTCACCGTACTTACGTGCGCATTACCTCAATTTGGGAGGTACCGTATGTACTCTGCATAGCAGATACAGCAGGGTATCTAGGCACTGACCTCAGAGTGGACTAGCTGCTTTTGCAACACTCTTACCGTTGCTGCAGGCGCGCCGCAGGGTTGAGTGCATGAGGTGAGTCTCGGTGGGGCCCTACCACTTGAGGTACCTCCGTATGCTTGAAATGCGCTTGCCTCTTACCAGAAAGCTACCATGAGGGCAGGAGTTGCGTCGTGAATAGAGATGGATGTATGCAACTATGCGAACTTCTTCGATAGGGCATGAAGCTATAGCGGCGAAAAGCCCATGGGACTGAACGCATTGTAGATAACCTCGACCATCGTAGAGCTTGTACATACGATAGTAAAGGTTCAACATAAAGTGGCCTGTCAACGGCCTCTGACATACCCGTCTTGAAGTTCAGTATTCCACCGAGACCAGGGCACAATTTAGTCATCTCTGAGAATCTACGACAAGAGAAAAGGGGTATTATTTGAACTTTTTGAGCCGAAGCACCGAGGTCTCTCTTCCCAGAGAGCCATGCCGCCATCACTCTGGTCAAGTCCTTCCCATTCACCACGGAGGATCTTCCAGCCTGCGGAAAAGCGCAATGTGCTTCTGTCCCTGATTCCGCGTCACCTTCTTGCTCTCCTCCGTCTCGGATGCCATCACCTTGACACACTCGTCCGTCTCCTGTTCCTCCTCGGACACACGCTCGAATGCGGGATGGGCATTGAAGTGACCCACCATCCACTGGTGCAAGGGTTCGACGTCTGTAATGGTGTACACGATGCCTCCTGGGCGCAGCGCAAAAGCGTATTCGGAGTTGAGTGTCGTTGATACGATTCTGGCCTTGTGTTTCCGTGCCTTGAAGTGCGGGTCGGGGAAGCAAATGAAGATCTTGGAGAGCTGTGCCTTTTTGAAAAAGTTGGGGAGGAACTTCATGCTATTGGCTCGGAGGCAGCTGATGTTCTGGTAACCGCCAGTCTCCTGATTCTGAACTCTGAGGGCCTTGATACGCTCCTGGACATATTCGGTAACCGAAGTGCGGATTTCGAGGCCTGCAGAGGGGATAGGGGTCAGCACGCTCACTGATTACAAGCTTAGAGATTCCGCCTACCGAGAATGAGGGTCTCTGGGAGGATCGGTGACAGAGCTACGGTCAAGCCTCCGAAGCCGCAGCCAATGTCAACAACCTCCACATCCTTCGTAAGACTGCGCGTTTTCGGCTTCGAGGCATCCAGGGTCATGGATTCCGTAACTGTAGGATCGGTGGAGGGAGTCTCATCGTTGGCTGCGAAGGCGGGATAGTACTGCGTCCAGTTCATGGAGTCTGGACTGGCCGGGCTTTATTTGGGACGGTGACAGTTAGCGAGAGAGTAGAGATCAGAGGGCGGCATGACCGTTGTGACTCAACTAGACTAATTGATGATCCGAGAAAGGGTTTGCATGAGCGCGTTGGCGGTAGAACTTCTTTTTGGGCAGTTCAGCCACGCCATCTTGGTTGCGCGCATTGCGATACTCCTCCCTCTTTGTGGTTTTGTTTTTCTTTTCCGGTCTACTCATGGCCGATCGCTGATCGAATCCGATCAATTATTTGTGAAGATAGTCGTAAAGAATGAGTAGACACGTTCAAGCTGTCTGCGGGCAGAGAGACGGCTTGGATGGAGAGTCGTCTGATATGCGCTCAAAGTGAACAATTGGCCGCCTGAAAATCAAAAAGTTGCGATGGGAGCGGGCGGTGATGCATGGCGGGGGACGATGAAAGCTGCCGATTGGGCAGGCGGTGAAAATCGACACTCGACCTCCCCAGTGAACCTCAGGGTATCGGTACCTGAGTGATAAGCGATAAGAGCTGAAGGCCCGCCCGACGCACCCGTGCCCGCTGCGGGTTCCTGGCTGCGTCACTCGTTCCGGGTGATCAGCCACCCAACCCGCCAGTGTACCTTACAAGTTAAGGTATGTTTTCCAACGCTGAAGAGGGGCCGAGGGCGCCCCTTTTACCATCCAGAACACGACGGGAAGGTTTCCGAGATACAGGTGTAGGATATAACAAGGATGGATTCGTGAGAGAACAGAAAAGGCTCAGAAGGGAGCCGGGTGACTATACTACCACCTTGGCCTTAAGACATGGGAAGACATAGGGCCCTAGCTGCTGTGAATTCCATCGAATGGAAGAAGGGGGTCGCTCTCGGAAGATTACCAAAATGCCTTGTCACTTACAGAGTGAGAAAGTCGCTGCACTGTTGGCTGCTTGATCTGGACTAAACACTAAAACGTGACGGAGGCGTCGGTCGGCCATCCCATGCTCTCTCCGCGCATCCTCATAAGCATCTATATCAATGCCTCCCTTTGCCTGATTATCCACCTCGGCACCCAACACCTGACTGTCTCACGACTGGCCCGCCCAAGAACATGACCGAGGGGAATATTTATTAACATAGAGATCCCCCCCAATTGCACCCCTTGGCGCAAAGGGTCTAGCATACCCAGCAACGACCCTCTCTCTACCTGATTGCTCAATCACGTCTCGTCATACCACTCTCAACATCCCTTTCGCTACCTGCCGTCAGACTACCTTACATTTCTGCCGTTACACGCGCGACTGCACCAACCGGCCATTGCGATTCAAGAACACCCCGCCGCATTGCTCCCGTCATTCTCCCATCATCGTCATCTTTCTTCAATCAATCCCAATCTAAATAGCCAACGGCCCTCGCCGTTGCTCCCGCAATTCCCTGATGAATACTCACGCGCAAACCGCCTCGTGGTACGACACCATGATGACCTACTCATTACTACACTCCGACTATCCTACCATTGTGAGATACATTTCAGGCGCCTTTGTAAGTCCAGTCAAAATCCATCCCAACCGCCGCGTCGCTAACACTCCTTCGATAGATCGCACTGGGATTCTGCTTCTTTGGCCCTATCCTCCTCCTGATCGGTGTAGACATCGTCATCTACATCTATAGGATATGTTGGAGCCGTCCGTGGAATCAGAACCAAAACCAGACATCCTTGCGTGAGCCGAGGCACTTGTTGCAACCGCAAAAGGCACAACCGCCACCACCACCACTGGGAGCCTCGGGTGGGACGACGGCCGTCCCTTCGACAGTGACAGTGACAGATTCAGCGCGGAAACGCATACAGCATCCGAGCGAGTCCGGGACCGGGCACAGCTCATTTTCTGGGTAGAGCGAATGCGAGGTTATGATCAAGGGGCTGTGCTTTGAGCGCAAGGTTTTTGCGAGAGACTAGAGCAGTAGCTCAATGGGCGTATAGGCTATGGTTGCGTAATGAGCTGCGAAAAGCGTTTCTCTCCTGATGCAGCGTTCTTTTTCAATGTGTTTACTTTATCGGGCTACCAATCGTATCTGGGCGGTTCTCATGATTGAAGGGGAGACTCGCTTCTCTTTTTGTTTGTTGAGGTTCCCTTATGAATGAGATGTCATAAATGTGTACTATGAAGCGACAGGGGCAGCAGACACGAGAACAAAGAAGGAAAGCGAATGTACTCTTGACTGAAGTTTCGAGGTGCCACAAATTTCCAACTTGACCTTCAGGAATATTTCGTAAATAGGACTTGCTGAACTTACGAAAATAGCAATATTTCCAAGGAGGTCAGCAACTTTATGGCGGGCTCCTTGGCGTATTGTTCAAGTTAACACGGGTTGTGGATGGTCTCAAATTATTTGAAGACATCATTTCTAGGGTACCTGGAGCTCTATTCTAGGGTACCTGTGGCGGTTCAAATTCCGTTTCATGCTTTGAGGTAGCACCTTGGTGTCGCCTGCCCGACGTGCCTGCTATTCCGATAACGATAAGGGACATTTCCACTGCGCTCACTGCCTGCGCATGCGTCCAGGCAAGGTCCTCCCATCTACACCTCCTCGACGAACACCACCATTGTACACAGCGACGTTAAACACAGCGAGCATCCCTTTGGATTTCTGATCAAGCCGAGTGATACTCTCGGAGCACACCAAGATGCAGCACACCAAGACCCCGCAGGATCCAAATCTCTACGGCCAACCGCCGCCCAAGAAGCGCAAAAACGACACGGCCCTTGGCAGCTCGCTCGACTTCACAGCCCAACTCACCTCCCTCATGTCGGCCCCCTCCACAGCATCCTCAGCACCAGCCCGGCCTCGGCCCTCCAAGGCACGATCAAGCCTCTTTGGCGGGAAAGGAAGAGATGGCGACAGGCATAATAAAAAGTCCGCAGGCGCAGCAGCAGCAGCCAGCAGCAACAAGTTGAACCTAAAAGACCCGCTCGGCACGGAAGAAGAAACGTCAAACCTCGCCAGCGCACGACGCAAGATGGAAGAAAAGGCACGCCTCTACGCAGCCATGAAGCGGGGCGACTACGTCCCTAAGGAGAACGAGGCAGCGCCCCTCATCGACTTTGACCGAAAATGGGCCGAATCGGAGGACAAGAAGAACGGCCGCCGGGAGGATGCGAGCTCAAGCGGCTCCGACGATAACGAGTCCGACGGCGACGGCGACGGCAACGACGAGGACCACACAATCATAGAATACGAAGACGAATTCGGCCGTCTCCGCCGCGGCACAAAAGCAGACAAGGAACGCCTCGAACGCCAGCGCCGGCGCGGCCTCCTCGGCGCCGAAGAGCTCGAACGCATGTCGGCCCGCCCCGCGGCCCCGGCCAAGCTGCTGTACGGCGACGCCATCCAGACCATGGCCTTCAACCCGGAGGATCCCGAAAAGATGGCCGAGCTGGCCAAGAAGCGGGACCGCAGCGCCACGCCGCCCGAGGCCAGGCACTACGACGCCGACAGCGAGATCCGCACAAAGGGCACGGGCTTTTACAAGTTTAGCAAGGACGAGGAAACGAGGCAAAAGGAGTTTCAGGGGCTCGAAGAAGAAAGAGTGCGGACGGAGGCGGCGAGGAAGGAGAGGGAGGAGAAGAAGGAGGCGAGGCGCAAGGAGATTGAGCAGCGGCGGAAAGAGGTCGAGGCCAGGAGGGCCAAGAAGATGGCTGAGAACTTTTTGGACGGGCTCGCGGCCGACATGAAGAGTGACAGTTGAGGCAGGCAGTGATTTTGAAAATGATACCCAGCAGGCAGCATGCATGCATTATGAGAGGAGGGCCATTTCGCCACACAATGTGGTTTCTTTCACGTCTGGCTTTGAATTACTCTATGCCTCCCGCTCTACACATAACACTACGACTAAGATAGGATGACTTGCAACATGAATAAATCTCTTTAAATAAGTGTGTAGCCTACTCTGAGAGGAATCGGCAGGCTATATAAGTAAACCTTTCTGCCGTCCTGCAAGTGGCCTTTTGGGGGCATCTTTGCCCATCCATAGGTATTTGCCAAATATGTATACAATCGCCTGCCTAATTGCGCCTACTGAATGACGCTTATAGATGCTCATCCACATCTCAATTGACGCCCCCAAACAAAAGAAGTCAACAGCCGTATTGACGAACACAGACTGTTGACGCAAAAATGGTGTGTGGTACATTAATCCGTACAGTAAATCATGGTTGTGGTGGTGACTTTGTCCGTCATGGTCAAAATGGGTGTTATGTGAACCACCATATACATCCACAGTCGCTAAGTTGACTGGTCCTAGATGGCCGGTCTCGAGGTGATACCAACAGGCTGTCTTCGTGTATCCAGCGTTTGCTCGAGTCTGCGATTGCTACCGTTTGCCGGTTTTCCATGATCATGACCTCAATTGGCTGGCCCTGATCGTCTAGTACGGGCACGGTGTTCTGGCCGTCATCGCAGACTTCGACTTGTCGGCAGTAGGCATTCTTCGTTTGGTCGAGCGAAACACGTCGCTCTTCAAATTTGATGACCTGAGGGTAAGGTGGTGGTGGGGCACGGCGTGGCCTATCAGTCGGGATCGGACTTGATTGGGGAGACTGGGTTTGCAATCCGCGGACCAAGAATTGCGTCGATGTTGAAGGAGGGAATGTTGCTGCCGCCGGAGGCCTGGACGTCGTGGTAGAAGGCTTTCTTTGATAGCTGTTGTTCTGGGCAGGGTAGACGAAGACTTCGAGAAGGGTTCCGGGCCAAGTACAGATCCAAGGCCGATCGCCGGCCTGTGCTCCTTTGACCCCTTTCCTGCTGAATTCAGACATTCCAGGCGGTGGTCCGTCCCATGATCCGCCTCGTTTGGATTGTGGCTGTTGCTTCTTGGGGGTTGAGACGACGCCAGGGAACCTATCCTCAGGAACGACCACGGTCTTGTTGTATGTCATCTGAGCGAACCATGCGGCGCCGCGTCCTTGTTCTGAAGTGTCGTTGACAAGACGCATCTTCAGAGGATCCATGATCAGTGGTGGTTGAGTACCCCACGAGAACATGTTGATCCTAGAGTTATCGTCGTGATCGCTGTCATTGAAAGTAGTAAGTTTTAAGGTGTAGTCAGATATAGGTAGTTCATTGGCGATTCTGGAGACGCCCATGACGTAGCTGGTAAAGGGAATGTTGCAGGTCCAGGCTTGGGCTTGCGTTGTGTCGTTGAAACAAGTACTTGGTGCCTGGCTTGCAATGAGAGGCGGCAGACCAAAGGTACCAATCTCCATTGGTGGAAGATCCGGTGGGAGAGTAGCAAGGGGCTTCACATCAACCGTGGCTGTTGGGATGACCACTGGTATAGGCTCATCGTCCTGATGCTTGCCAGGTGGCTTTTTATGCTTGGCGAAGAATGTTCCGATGACAGCACCGAGAATGATACCCCTAGATATGGTTAGTGACATTAAACAGAGAAGGAAAGAAGTTGATATCAACTCACATCATCACCAGTCCAACTGCCAACAAGCAGATAGCCCAGTAAGGAACGACACCGAACAACCTCTTCTTTGCCCTCTTCTGCCATTTTCGGTCGGACGCGTTTTCGCCCTTCTCAGCGTAGGACTCGGCAGCAGTGTTGATCTCGTGTTGGCTAGCAGTCTCGTCATTCAACGTCCGAGAAGACGTCCGGGATGGCGATGAAAGACGTAGATCCTCTCGTGATTCAAACTCGGGATTGCGTGTCGCAAGTCCGATGCCCCCAGCGCCAGCAGGAATGGCGGGTACCGTTGCAGTCATGACCGTGACGGCAGGTTGTTGTGCCCGAGGTTGTTGCTGCTCTGGCTGCCGTTGTTGCTCTTGTTGAGATTGCACTGGAGGCGTCGATAATTGTGGTTGTTCACCTGGCTGTTTCCTTGTATAGGCCTGCTCGGGGTATCGAGTGTAGGGTGGAAGCTCTTCGGTATGGCCCAACGGTCCGATCAGGTCAGCAGCTTCCTCTCCATCTGGCCCAATGCGGCGGTGATATCCATCGGAGCGGCCAGCAAATCCCACGGGGATGCTGTCACCATCGTTCGTGTCGGGGGTTACGGTGTTTTGCGTGTAGAGTGTATATGGGTGTGTCGGTCCGCGAGGCCCGGCGTATGATCTTTCGGACATGCGAGCGGTGTTTGACGTCGCGACACTGTTGGTCCGTTGCGGGTACATTTGGTACGGGAAGGACGGCCCAGACGGTCCCTCGTAGGGGCTCTCGGATCTGATTATTGGTGAATCGCTCGAGGCACTGGAGACACGAGACATTGGGGCGCCGCTAGATTGGGATTGAGACGTCGAACCATCGTGACGGAGGGCTAGCGGATCATGGGAACGAGGAGGTTTTGAAATGCTGGAAGGTCGAGGTGGTGTGACGCGCTGAGGCACGGGAGATTCTCGTGACACAACCGCCGAGCCAGTCGAAGGGTTGGTGATCGAGTTGATGGGTTGATGGGAAGCAGAGACGTTGGCTGGGCGAAAGCCGTCCGAGATGCCCATTGCGGCTAGGTCGTAGTCATCATCGTCGGCGGTCAAAGAAGCCCTCGCTGACATCCTGAGGGAAGCCCTCCGCTCGTTGCCTGCCTTGTCGTGGAATGGATCCATGAAGATGGTGATTCGATGGTCGGGTTTCGATTTCGACGACGAGCTGCGGCCTGTTGAGAGTGTGGTGGCACCAAGTTCACAACATGGGCGTCCGCCGCTGACCCCGTAGGCCCAAATCCAGATCCAGTCCCGGCCTCAACCCGCGGTTGCCTGCGTCGTTTACCCTCTGCCGATTGTGCCGCGCTCCGAACCAGTCGTCGCCCAAGGTAGTCGAAATGAGAATCGATCGAGTGAGTCGACAGAAATGGAATTACGCGGTTGTCGGGATTTTGGTGGTGAGTGGTGGACAAGTGTGGAATCAGTAGTGTGCAAGAAAGAGAGGCAGGGCGTGGGTAGGTAATTGGGTCGTGGAGGAGAAGGAGAGGAATAGGCGTAGGACAGGGCGAAAGAGGGAGTGAGCAGGAGAGTGCGGGTGCGGGAGGGTAATACCAGACAAGGTTGGACGATTCAGGAACAGTTTGGGTTTGGGGTCCGACACGAAGCGTCCGGGACGTTGATTGGTGGGAGGCCGGGGGGTTCCTCTTTTTTCCCTTCTCTACCGGCTGCGGAGGCAGGATACCCAGGGGCCGTATTCAGAAGCGAGAGAAGCCAACCCGCTGGAGACTTTCCTGCTGGAACCAAGAAACGACCGGGG